AAAAAAAAAAAAAAAGTCAATGTTATGTACACAATTATTATCAAATTTTAATGTTATTTTATGTATAGCAGTTTGGGTGATTTTTTAGAAACTTTCCTTTTATACTTTTCTATTTCTTGAATTCTTGGTCATCAGTATGTATTGTTTTTTTAAAAAGCAAAGTCATATTACTATATAAATAAATAGCTGAAAAATAAGACATCAATTACAAGGGCAAAAAAAACTCCCATGACAATCAATTACTGAAAATTAATTACTACGTCAAAAAGAAAGAAGGAGAGGGAAGAAGGAAGGGAGGGAGGGAGGAAGGAAGGAAAAGGAAAAGAGGGAAAAAGAAGGGAAAAGGAGGAAGGGAGGGAGTGGAGGGGAGCAGAGAGGAGAAAGACACTCTCCATATCATAAAAGACGTTTGAGCCTAGGAAGTGGCTTACTTACTGGCACACCCACACAAACAGTTCCCTCTCATTTCGCCACCTGAGACTGCCGTTGTTGGCTGCGTTTGTCGGCTCACGCCCCATTTGACTCTGTTGCACAATTCTCATTGCAGTGTTCTGTCACTTGTGGTGTTGGAACCCAGCGAAGAAAGCAGGTGTGTCAAAGGCTGACAGCCAAGGGCCAGCGCATTCCTCTCAGTGACAGGATGTGCAGGGATCTTCCAGGGCCCCCTCTCGTCAGATCTTGCCAGATGCCTGTGTGCAGCAGTAAGTATGCAAAGTCCACGCTTCACCAGACATGCTGATTCTGTTCATCTTGTCCCAATGGCTTCATTTTCCATAGAGCAACATATTTCTAATCTGTAGGTAAAGCAAATCAAGTAGAACTCAGAATTGTTTTAAGCAGCAAACAGTATAATGTTGAAGACCAAGATGTAGTTTTAAGTCAGTTTTAAGAAATATCCACCACTTAACAAATGCATCTTTTAGGTTTCCTCACTTGCGTTTATGCTTCCTTATATCCTTCACTTTACCGTGGTTTCTTCCACTTAGATTTCATGAGTGTCCCTTGTAGAAGTTAAGCTGAAATACTTTCTGGTTTACTTTACTAATAATATATTTGGATTCCTTCTATTAAAAGTAGAAAAGCTAATTATTTTTAAGTATTCAAGTATCTTTTCTTGTGTATAATCTAAAACCAGCAAGGATGACAACATGAAATACCTTTGGTTTTAAAAAATGGCAGTTTGGACACTTCTTCAATTAATTATAAATACTAAGCTTAGTATAAAGAGTTAATATCATGATTTCACTGGATCAAAAGCTAATACGCATGTCGCATTCATCCGTATTTTCAGTGTATGTGAGAAAACATGTGTTTACACGTGCATATGTGTGTTTCATGTAGGAGGGTGACAACAGATGAGCTGGGGGCTGTCCCTACAGCAGTTGAAAATAAGGCAGCAGAGTGGTGGTGAGAGGTGGGATGGGGAGGTGGGGAATAAGCTCACTGGAAAAGCACAGCTTCTGGATCTGTTTCCTGCTTTGTTTTTCACCGTCTTTAATTATTCACCTGAAAAATAACAATAATTACCTGAGGTACTGAGCTTATAGCAAGAAAAAATATCAGCAAGTAACTATTATTTTAATGCTTCTTAGGAAAAAAAATATATATATATATATCTAAGTTCGTAATCTGTTTACCAGCAACTTTCCCAGAGAAACTCACAAAACAAAAGAAAAACAGCAATAAGTTTTCTTTAAAATAAAGTATTAGCATTTATTGAGCACTTACTATATGGAGTCTCTTGCATGCATGATCTCACTTAGTCCCCAATGGCATTGTGAGACAGCTATTATCCCCATTTAGAAACGAGGAATCCAAGACTTGGAGAAAACATGAGACTTGCCCATGTCCCCGTGGTTGCCAGTTGGACCCCTTGGCCTATTTGACCACGAGTCTGTCTGATTCCTGAGCCCACGCTCTTAGCCACCTCTCTGTGCTGATTCATGGGCAACGTTAACTTTTTTCCCCTAGGAATTCTTTGAGAACAAATTTTTAAAATCTTGAGATTCTAAAAATTTGAGATTTCCAGTTTTATAGTGTCCAGGGTCCAAGAATGCCTGTGGCATATGGTGCAGCGTCATGCTTCAAGCTGCTTACCTATCTGATTTTTATTAATTGTGCATGGTTGCATAGCAATGTGGCTGGATCGTAAACTGCCTTAGAGGAGAATGAAATTAAAGTAATGGCAGCTTTGTCTAAAATAATAACATGTGGGAATACATCATGGTTATTAGGGCATGCAATGTGGTACAAGATGAAATTATAAATTATTATGGCATACAGTGAAGAGCAGAGTAAAATTATAAATTTTAGGAACAAAGGAAAAAAAACAAGAAAAAAGTAATATTTCTTCTTTACTCCACTCCGTTCCATAGCTTGCCAAACATGTAGGTCATGGAAGCAGACAAGAGACAGGAATGCATGCTCCCAGCACAGCCAAATCCCCCCAGGCTGGGCCCCCACTTCAGCTGTAGCCTGGCCTCATGCCGTCACCTGTGATCCATGGCCCTTGCTTGCTGAAATTTGGCTTCTCCCTCTGCACTCTCATATGGCATCCTCTTCTCCCCACCACCAAATCACAGAGCCAAGTGATGAGCTTGGCATTCATCCATCCTCCCTACCCCTGCTGTCTCTACACCTTTTTCCCACTGTTGTCACACACTTAGCACTATGCTGCCCTCCTCATACCTTCAAAGGCATCGTGCAGACCTACAGGACACTTTCTGCCTTTCTCCAGGACATGCCACCACCAGGTCCATTCTTCCTCTCCAACATTTGCCAACATCCGGGACAACCAACATATATGTTGATGACCTTTCTGACGCCCTGATATCCCAGTTTCCCGACATGGTCAATTTCACTGACCCCCATGCCCCCTGGTGTGGTGAGGCCTTAGACTTCCTCAGTACTTGGCGCTCAGAAGTGGCTTCCTGCTCTCCCCCCCCCCCCGTCTTGCTCCTGCCCATTTAGTGAATGCCTCACGGTGACCTCTGGTTCTTCCATCCCACTGTCCCCAAGCTCTCTGCTCTTGCACTACAAACCAGTCCTCTGAGCTGGCATTCCCTAGTCACCCACTTAACCAATGCTATAGCCAGATCTTATGCCCTTTCTTAACCCACCGTCTTGATCACACTGCTCTTCTTCAACCGTGGTATGACTTTTCAGGTGATTTTTGTTTGTTTTTTGGTTCCCTGGAAGAGCTTCTTGGATTTGCTAAAGGAAATAATATCACCATGCTGATTAGACATACTTCATGTTGATGCTATCTGAACTTAGCTGGGCAATAGTGTGTTTTTTCCCTAGTTTCTAAGAATTCACTAGAAATTGACCATAGTAGCTATTTCCTAACTACTGCACTGACCCAGAGATCCCATTTCTCTGTCGATGAGCTTTTATTCCACTAGGAATATCAGAGTTCTATGGTGCAATGTCCTTCTGACTTTCCTCTATCCTTCACTTCAAATCTCCCCCTCTGCTCCCTGAACTGGAAATGTGTGGTCTTCTTTATAGACCTAACTTCTCCGTTATGGAAGGGAATCCAAAGACAAGACAAACCAAGGCTGATTGTGCTGTGACCTTTATTCTCTGTCAAGGCTCCCCTTCTAGAAATGTGTCCTAATCGGTGCTTTGGGTTTAGGTAAAACTCATCCTCTTTGGAAGAAGTTTCCTTATCTTCATTTTGGTGTCCAGGGGGGCAGTGAGGTCAGTGGGGTCGGGTGCAGCTGGGAGAGGTGTCTCAAGCTCCCACTAGAGGCCAGTGGTGCACCATACAGTCCAAGTACACCCGCCGCCAGCTTCTCCCCAAATATTCCTGCATTCTCCCACCTCGGGCTTTTACTGCCTGCCTAAATGCTTTCTTCCGCCATAGCTAGCAACTGACATTCTTCCCCTTCTTGAAGGACCAGCACAAACCCTACCTTCCCCAATAATCTTTCTCAGTTGCACTTAATCTCTGAAAGGTAATATGATATTGTAGCTAAACTAACTCACTTGAGTTCATATCCCAGTTCTTCCCGTTCCTTATCATGTGACATTGGGCAAGTTATTTAATCCCCGCAAGTCTCAGTTTTCTCATCTATAATACGGAAATAGTCATTGTAGCTAACTCAGAGAATTCTTCTGAGAGTTCATACGTATAACGTGCTTAGAAACAGTGCCAGGCACATACTAACAGCTCGAAAACGTTAGTTGGTTTTTTGGGTTTTTTTGTGAGGAAGATTAGTCCTGAGCTAACATCTGTTGCCAATCCTCCTCTTTTTGCTGAGGAAGATTGTCCTTGGGCTAACATCCGTGCCCATCTTCCTCTACTTTATATGTGGGCCACCTGCCACAGCATGGCTTGATGAGCGGTGCGTAGGTCCACACCTGGGATCCAAACCACAAACCCCGGGGCCGCTGAAGCAGAGCGCTTGAACTCAACCACTACGCCACTGGGCCAGCCCCTTATTTTTAATGTCATCACCACCTCCCTCTAATTCCTGTTATAGCTTTAAGACAGGATAAAATGCAAAAGAGTAACTTGTGTTGTGTCCTCTGGCCCTTAGGGTATGAGCTTGTGTGAGGTAGGTACACAGTAGCTCTGGACTTTTTCTCCATATAGGCCCCCCAAAGTGCTTATCATAATGAATTATACCCATAGACATACTTTTTAAATATGTCAGACTAGGATCATCCTCAAATTGCTATTAGAAGTCTACCTGTCTTGGTTCCCAATCAGGCATCTGAAGAAAAGAAAGGATAACAGAAATGTCATGTTTGATTTTAGATTTTTAAAATTATGGCTCTTGTTTTTTAGGGTTCTCAAGTTTTGGTGAAGAATTTTTGTTTTTTGCCAACCACTGAGATCAAGCTGGTTGAGGGAGGAGAGGCAGCGCTATGTGATTGGAATGTCAAGAAAAGCGTGCCTTGTCCCCTTCACAGGGTGATCTCCATCCCACTTGCTTCTCTCCAACTCTTGGTCTCCCTCCTTGTACCAGCCTGGGATCTGCCTCATTAGCTCTCTCAGCCTCCTACTCACACCTTGTACTTTATAATAGAATATGGCCGCCCTTGCTTCCACTCTTCCTGTAGCCTCCTCGACTTCCAGTCCCACCCATCCCTGCCTGACACAGCAGCAGCCCTGGGTAACCCAAGCACAGGCCCACCTCGCCAGCACCCCTCTTGGGCTTGTGTTGCCTCTGCAGCATTCAAGGGCATACGTGTTACTTTTTCTTTTACTCATTCAGTAATTGATTCATTTATTCATTCAATACACAGTAAGAGTTTACTATGTACCCTCACTACGCCATGCTCTGAGGCCAGAGATGATCTTTCTGCCTGGGCATGCGACGTGTTCAGTGTCAGACGACAGCCGTTTCTCTATTAGTTCTTTCAGCAATCATTCACCAAGTGCTGCTGTGTTCTAGATGTTATGATACAAAAGGAAAAAGATAGGTTCTCTGGTCTCTAAGAGCGCATGGTCCAGTTGGGCAGAAATATATATATAAACAATGAGAACAGTCAAGGGCCATGAGTGCCATCCTAGGATGCAGAAGGCAGTGGTCAATGCTGCTGGGAGAGCTGAGGAAAAGTTTCACAAAGGAGGAATCTTTACGCAGAGTTCTGAAAGATGTGGTGGTTCATCAGGCCCACATGGAGGAGGATACAGGAGATTCTGGGAAAAGAGAGCAGCATGGATAAAGGTCGGGAGTGTCAAATGAGT